ATTTGGAGGTTGTCACAATTATAGTCTTGCATATATATATTATTACATAATGTAGTAAGAAAGTATATATTTTTTTATTTTTTGGGGTCTCCAGAACAAATTAATCAAATTCACATAAAAACCTATGGTAAATCGATAATTGGTTAACAAACAATTCAGATAATGAACAAAGTCTTGGAACGAATTATGTTCGTTAACTGATCACCCACTGTACTCGTTGTGCAATGCTAACAAGTTTTATTACAATTTTGCATTGTTTTGTGATTATTACTTTTTTTTTGTTTATAAAGAATGGAAGAAGATAAAAGAAGTAACGAGAAGAAAAGCTAAGGAACCAAAATGAGGAGAAAAGGGCCAAGGAAGAAAAAAAGAGGTAAGATATACACATATCTTTCTTGTTAGATTATCAGACTCTGGTGATTCAGGTTGATGTTTATATTCACTAATTCTGTGAAGACTCCAAACTGTCATACAAGGGTGAAGTGCCAGAAAACCTTTCTTCTTGTCAAAATAGTTATGTTTATTTTCTGTTTTTTTTTTCCTTTCATATTAATAATACTTAAGGTATTCCCTCCACAGACTACCAGAAAGGCCCAGTTGTGGATATAATTTGAAAAATTTTAAATGCAGTTCACTTACAATAGCAGATATTTGTGAGTTCCACAAAGCATAATTCTATTTAACAAAAAATTAAGTTCAATGCAGTTGCAAAAAGACATATTCACACTGGCAGAGCAGAATATGAAAGGAGTGAAGACTGACATTCTATATGTTTTACTGAGGGAAAAAAAGAGGAAGTGTGCTTATTTACTGGAAAATGAAAACCAATTGCATAGGAATAACTAACCATAAATACATAGTACATGATTTCAACATAACAAAACTTTGAAAAAATGTACAATAGTGTTTTAAAAGAACACAAAGTAAAACTGACTTATTTTAGAGAAATTTTTAGCACATTCGATTAGGCATACCCAGAACAGATGTCTGTTTGACTTCCCTTCGGTTGCCTGAATAAATGAAAGCCAAAAAAACACATGCAAGAATAGAATGATTAAAAACTGAATTAAAAGTACATCAACTGTAAGGGAAAAGGCATTGTTTTAACCCCTAAAATAAGAAAAGAACGGTCTTTTGATCATATCAGTTGAATTTCAAAAAAATCAACCTTTTCCAAAACTTCCAAATCAGACAACTAATAAGTTGTCTGATTTGGAAGTTTTGGAAGAGGCTGGTTTTGGAAGATTTACATCAATTGTATGCTTACAACTTTATAGTAGTTGTAGGTCTTTAAAGTCAAAGCTGACTGCTGATAATATACTCAGTTATGTTCAGACTCAAGATATATATATATCTCAAAGATTCTAATGAAATATCCAGTTGTATTTTTCATTGCCTCTCTACAATATTTAAGTTTGAAGATATTCATACTCTGCACTTGGTAGCAATGGTTATGGGCAGTGGTGATATTCGAAATATTTAACAAAGGGTTCGCTAACAGAAAATTTTTCCTTAACAATTTTTTTTTTTCTCTCAAATGGTGCATTAGCAACATTAGCGCAAAAATTGACCTTAAGATATCCATATAAATAAAAAAGATGCGTTCGCAAAATTAAGTCAGTTAAAATTTAACATTGTTTATGCCAGAACTATATTTTTTTTATAAATAATGAAAAAGAGTGTTCAAAATGATTTATTTTGTACATATTTTAATATTTTTCATTCAAAATATTTTATAAACATAAAAATTGGCTTTTTTTAATCAGAAAAAGTCATAAGGAAAGCAGTTAAACAAGAAAAACTTTTCTATATCATTTATTTTATCGTTAGGTATTATTATAATAATAGACAGATGTCATCGTCTCTCGAAATACAATATCTTTCTTATTTCGCTGTTGATAGCCCGACACGTGCTCCGCAGCCATCTTGTATTTTCTCGCGCGCGTGGGATTGTGAGATTTCTCTTATGACTGGATCTAGTTTCGAGAACTCTCTAGAGTCGATCGCGATTGAACCTAGTTTTAGTCGAGATTGAAACGGTTGATGGAGGTTGCACTAAGCGAACACGGTATAAGGCTCTAGTTTAGTAGTGTTACAGAGTATAATACGTATATTTTAATATATTTTTTAAAAGAAACAAAACCACTGAGAAATGTTACATGTTGCGTGTGTTTAACAACGAGTTCGGAAAACTTTGAAAATGTTAACAACGGGTTCGGCCGAACCTGTGCGAACCCGCTGAATATCACCACCGGTTATGGGGCCAAACCAAGAACACAGTATTATTAGCATGTGTTCCAAATAGCTGCACTAATCCCTTATCAATATATTCCAATGAAATAATCTTTCCTGTGACAGGACATTCTTTCCTCTCTGGTAATTGCAATTTTTTTTTCATAATTGAACTGAACATGACACCAAAAAAAAATCATAGTACTGTTCCTGTGGAATGTGCCTCTCAAAGTTTCGATAATGTAAGATCGTGGAGTATGGTAAGCTTCCTTCACCTTTCCATATGTTTGCATATCTGACACCCAGACTGGTTGTCCTATCTGCAAACGTGGAAGAGTTTTTGCACTGTGGCATCGATCAAAATAGGTTTTCTGTTTATCTGCCTTCCCCTTTTCCTTCTTTCTTACTGAAGCGAAATCAATCAAACGAGGTATCAATTGTTGATTGCTGGATGGCAGGGGTGTTCTCAATCTTCAGCTCATTAACAGTTCCACCGGATTATAGCCATTTTCTAATGGTGCTGATCTCATTGCTAGCAGCATCAAATAATAATCCTGCAACTCAGATTTCAAGTAATGACTTTTAAAATTTTTTATCATTGATTCAATGAATTCATTGCTTTCAGAGTATCTTGGACTAGATGTTATACTTGAAAATTTATACTTTTCTGCAAATTTACAGTATTCCGAGTCAAAAACCTAAGAAAATTGGGTGCCATTGTCACTTCGTACAACTTCTGGAATTCCATGTCTTGCAAAAATTGATTTCATGTGGTTAATTACTGACGACAACAACAATTTCTTTAATCTGGCAACTTCAAAATATCTGGAAAAGTAGTCAGCCATTATGAGATACCAATGGCTTTTAGTTTTAGAAGATCTATCCCTACAATTTGCCAAGGTCTCTCAGGAAATTCACTTGGGATAAGAGGCTCTTTATGATACTTTTGGTATTGGATGCATATTGGGCAGTTCAAAATCAATTTCTCAATGTTTGCTGATAAGTCTGGCCACCAAACAGACTCTCGAGCTCAGGCTCAACACTTTGTTATTCCAAGATGGCCTTCATGTAACCTGTTCAATATTTCTCCTTGAAGCTTTTCTGGAATGATAATCCTGGCATCTTTAAATAGAATCTTATTTGGAGAGTAATTGAGTTTCTGTGCTCCCAATATCTTCATATTTTCTTAGGTATTTCGTTTTTCTTTGGCCAACCCTCTTTGCAGTATCTCATCAACATTTTGCAAATTGGATCTCTCTCTTGTAAATACACGATTTCTGCTAACCGTTTATCAGATGTAGGAAAGATGTTGATAATATTTTGAATTTAAGCCTTAATCTCCTTGGTCAATTCTTCATTTTCCTGTTCAGGTATGGGGCTACGGGATAATGCATCTGCAATTAACAGCCGCTTTCCCAGTTTGTATATGATGATAAAATTGTATCTCATCATTCATAGCTTCATTTGTTGCAGTCTTGGAGTAAGACTGTCCAAAGCCTTCGATATGAAAATTGGTATCAGCGGTTTGTGGTCTGTTTCAATATTCATGACTTTGCCCATTATGTAGTCATGGAACCTCTCAGAAACCCAAACAATTGCCTAAGCTTCCTTCTCAATTTGGGTGTACTGTTTCTCAGTATCTGACGATGTCCTAGATGCATAGCAAATCGGAGTCATGTGACCACTTTCACTCTGATACAACACAGCACCACGACTGTAAGATGATGTGTCACAGGAAATATGTTTCTTTCTTTGGATCGTACATTGATAATCTTGGAGTTTGACATAGCTGATTCTTGTTCTCTTGGAACAATGTTTCCTGTGCTGGCCCCCATAACCATTCTATGTTGCTCTTTAACAGTTCGTACAGAGGGTTTGTAACATCAGCTATTCTTGGTATGAATTTGTTTAGAAATCCACTCATGCCCAACAATCTTTTCAGCTCTGTGACAGAGCTAGGTCTTGTGAGCTTTGCTATTGTTTTCTTGGGATCAGGTTTTATACCATCATGCGAGATTACATGTCCAAGAAACTTGACTTCTTTCATTCTGAACTGACATTTTTCAGCATTTAGAGTCCATCCTACATTTTAAAGTGTACAAAGAACTTCATGCAGATGTTATGCAGACTTATCATGTTCTTCTGTGGCCCCAAATATCCTGAAATCATTCATTAGTATTACAATTCCAGGGCCCTCTGGTATTGTTTTGTGTATTCTTTTCTGAAATATTTCAGGTGCCGACTTAATTTCAAACAGCAACCGTTTAAATCCGAACCGCCCAAAGGGTGTTATAAATGTTGTCAAGTAAGATGATTCTGAATCCAATGCAATTTGCCAAACCCTGCATTAGCATTAATAATACTAAAGATTTTTGCGTTATGAAATTGGCTAAGTGTATAGTTGACCGATGCCATTGGAAAGTATTCTCTCTCAATGTTCTCATTCAATTTAGATAGATCGACGCAAATTCTTATTTTGCTTGATTTCTTCGGAACCAAAACCATTGGAGCACACCATTCTGCAGGTTCATCTACTACCTCAATTATTCCCTTATTTACCATATTGTCCAGAGTTTTCTTCAGCTTATCTGTCAAGGGCAATGGTACCTTTCAAGGAACTGCCAGGGTGTAAGGCTTTGCTTCCGGTTTAAGTTTAATGTGATAGGGTTTCTTTACTTTCCCAATCTCCTGAAATAGATTGGGGAATTCTTTAAATAGATCAAAAGTAGAGTTTAGTTCCTGTATTCTTTTCACAAGATTTAACAGTTCACTCGCTTTACCACTCAACAAGGAGCATTCTACTTTATCTATAACATATATGTCTTCTTGGATGCAGAATCTCTTATTTCTTAGCTTCTCAGTAAATCCAGTGTTTTCTTTCCAGGGCCGTGTATAGATCTATTCGTTTCTCATAATTTAACGAGATTGCACTCTGTGATATATCTCGTGTGGTATAACTGTGACATCTGCCCCTGTGTCAATCTTGAAGTTTAAAGGAATGTCTTCAACGAAAATGTTTGCATTCCACTGATTATGCTTTTTCGTAACCCTAACTTTATATTACTTGACCCTTTAACATGTCCCAGAAATGAACTTTGCTTAGGTTCTCCTATTTCATTGATACTCACTTTAGCTTTACAGACCTTTGCGTAATAACCTACTTTTTTACACTTATTATAGATCCGCCTTACATGCAGTGCAATTTAGATTAGTATGTTTCACAGTTTTTCCATACAATAACAGGAATTTAAAGGTTTGTTTCCAGTAAACAAATTGTTGGTAACTTCTGGCTTCGAAAATACATTCTTCACACGTGCAGCTTTGCCTAATGCATACATGTTATTCACGGAATTGTTCTCAAAAGCTTCTTGCTGCTTTTTCACTGTTTCAGCCTGTCTCACAGTGTTTATTGCTTTATCCAAAGTTAGTTCCATTTCTAGTTGCAAACGTTCCGAAACTTTTTTGTCTCTAATGCCGCAAACTATTCTGTCCCTAATCATTTTGTCTTGAAACGAAGCAGGGAAATCACGCGTTTTAACCAGACTATATAACGAAGTTACAAATTTCTCCACTGTTTCTCCTTCCTCTTGAAACCAAGAAATGAATTTATATCTTTTGTATATAACATTTTTAGTTGGGACGAAGTATTTTTCGAATGCTGCCTTAACTTTGGAATGGCCATTTCTATCCTTAAATCGGCAATGTACTACACCGGGATAAAGTAAACAAAAAACAACGTACCAGGAACCTGTTTCCGGTGTGCTTCTCGGTAAATTGATGCCATCGATACGTATGATAGAATTCTTAATGGTGTTCTTATTTGAATTGAATTTGAATGGCATTCGCTTAGACATCTGTTACCTGAAGAAAAACTTACAAGTTCGAAAACATTTGTAACACTTCGTTTTACCGAGAAGCACACCGGAAACAGGTTCCTGGTACGCTGTTTTTTGTTTCATTTCTATCCTCTTCTGGGAGACTAAATAATGCCAAAATTTCCTCGGCTTTCCGTCCCATTAAATATATGAAAGAATTTACTTGGTCAGTTTCTTCTTTATTATGGAGTCCACTGTTCAAAATCGTTCAAAACACCCTATCCATGTTCTCCAATCTTCAGAACAAAAATTAAAAACTTCTGGTACTGGGATCTGATACGTTTTCCTCTACGCTGCCATGTATTATAAACAACTCAACTGACCAGATAATATGATACAAATAATTCTTTATTAATATCACTAAACACTTCTACATCAGCTGGTTCCCTTGAGCTACTCCCGCTCAGTTTTTTTTGCCACACCCTTTCTTCAACCCTTTTTTCGTGTTGCCACCTCGGCACCTACATGATTACATTTAATGTTTATTTAAATCATCAACATATATTACACATAATTTAAAAGAGTTTTGATATTTGTTTTTGATCCAATAAATTTGTTGAATAGTAAATTCATTATTGTTTTCAACAATTTCCTTCTACTAGTTTATGGACTAATGGTATATGGATTGATGTACAATAATTTGCAAAACTATTTGTGCTGATAAAACTTCACTCTAAACACTTAAATTAGTGAAAATAAAACAGCAATTTTTAAGATCTTTTACTCCTCATACTCAGAACTGGAAGTAGAACAACAAAAGTTTGTATCGGCAAACCTCACAGTCAGTCCCCCAGTAAGAATATCAGAAGCTTCTGATTTTAATCTTCTAATTTTCTTACCGCTAGACTGACTGAGAGGTTTGTGGATGTGTATTTTTCTTTCTTTGAAAATGAGTATAACATGGAAGATTCAATATTTATTATATTGAATAAAATAGTAAACTTGGAATTATCTAAAAATAAAGAAATATGTTGTAGTACATTGGAATAAATTTGCAATAAGAACATTAAAATCATTTTTCTTTTTGTGGAACAAAAGTACAGATCCACTGATTTATAGTGTAATGGCAGAAAACTGAAAACTTGCAGTTTAAAAAACAAATTTTTTCAAAGATGTTAAAGTTAATCTTAATTTAGCTGCTATAAACATTTGTATTGAAGTTCGAAGTAAATTTGTAAAAGAAGTGAATTCAGAAACATGTAAAAAAGTTATCAGGAAAGAGGAATAATAGAGAATCTAGAAAAGGATAAACTTTGAAAATGAATATAACATGGAAGGTTCTTTCTGGAATCAAGTGGTTTTTAGTGATGAAAGCATATTCTTTTTTGGTGAAGAAAAATGTTAAAAAAAAGCCCAGAACTGAAAGCATAGCTAGACCAATACAGTAAAAATGACTCTGACTGGAAAATCCAGAACTCTAAGAAAATTTTAAGTAAAATTTGATGTTTTAAAGCACATTTTTGTTGTATTTTTGACTCTAGCAAATAGAGAAATTTTGTATACCTATTGCAATATTCTTTGTCTATAAAATTTTAAAAATTATTCTAATAAAATAATTTAAAACAGTTTGTTTTTACAAAAACAGGGTTTCTACTCAATTTTTGTTTTAAATTCCCTGATTTTCCCTGACATATTGTAAAAAAATTGTATATCTATAAAGTCCCACTGTCATTTATCTGCCTATCTGTTCTTCCTTAATCTCAATGAGGTTAGATAGATGAAAGAAAAGACCAGATATGGATACCTGAGGGGCAGAAGTCCCGATTAACTATGTAAGGTCTGATACAAACCAGAAGTCATACTATTTCTATTCACAAATTTCTCCTGAAAGGTGTTAGATAGATGATTAGCACAACTCTATTGTTAAAGGAAAAGTATGATGTAGAGGGCAAGTCACAACTGACTTGAGTGGAGAGTACGTATTTTAAATTAAAATATAATTATAAATTGCAGTCTGGCATTGTGATATCGTCACTATAAATAAATAAAATACTCCTCAAACCTTCTAACCAGAGTGCTTCTATTTTTAGAATTGTGAACGTTTTCGTCACCCCTCCTGGGCTCTTCTTCAGGCTTTATCAAATAGGCCATTATTGTTCAAATAAACATTCAAAATGAATTTCTTCTGAACACTATCATGTGAAATTGTTCTGTAGTTGTATTGCACATGCTCCATAATCATCTCTTTAAACACTGTTATCCAGCAAAATCTGCCATGCTACAGATAGGGCCATATAACTAATACACGTACCTTTTCATTCATTCATGGGTGTTCTGTCCTAGGACAGGTCCGTGGAAAGCAGTCAAATTATAGAATTCTCCTTCTCCAACATTCTCTATTTCAGGCTTCCTCTTTTATTTCTTTATAAGTTTTGCCTAGTAAAACATCATCTATCAATACTTTTCTTTTTCTTCCTCTTTGTTTCCTTGCATCAATTTTTCCTTCTAATGCCACTCACATTAATCCTTCTCCTCGCAATATATGACCTAGCCAGTTATTTTTTCTTCTTTGTATTGTTTTTAAAAGAGATCTCTGTTCCTGGACCAAATTTAAAACATCTTCATTCTTAACCTTTTCTGTCCACTTGATTTTCTCCATTCTTTGCCATAACCACATTTCATATGCTTCAAGGTAGTTTGTTTCCTTTTTTTCCTTAAGGTCCAAGTCTCTGCTCCATATAAAGTTGTGCTCCAGGAAAAGCATTTTATTAACTTTTTTTTAAGTGTTTGGTTCATTTTTCCAGCCCTGATTCGTTCTTTGATTTCTTTTTCACATCTGCCATCTCCCTGAATAATGCTGCAAAGATACCTAAAATTTTGAACTTGCTCTATTTTGTTTCCATCAATTAGGATTTTCAAATCTTTGCTAATTAGCTTTCCAACTTTCATCACTTTTGTTTTAGCTATGTTAATTTTCATTCCAAATTTTTTGCAAGTTTTGTTGAGTTTTGTTACCAAACATTGTAGAGTTTGTTCATTTGGTGCAAGTAAAGCAATATCATCTGCAAACCTAATACTTTGTATTAATTGGCCTCCAATTTTAATTCCGAGGCTGTCCTCACTTATGGTTTCATTCATTAATTCCTCAAGATAAATGTTAAAAAGAGTGGGTGAAAGTGTACACCCTTGCCTGACTCCTTTTCCAATACTGCATGATTTGCTTTCTCCAGTTTTTGTTTGGATAATGGCAGATTTATTCATATAAAGTAAAGCAATGAGTCTTCTATCTCTCCAATCTGTTCCTATTTTTCTTAAGATTTCCATTAGCTTTGTCCAGTTAACCATATCAAAAGCCTTTTCCATGTCAATAAAGCAAATGTACGTATCCTTATTAACCTCAATGTTTCTTTCACAGATTGTTCTCAAGAGGCCAATAGCATCCCTTGTTCCTTTTCCAAATCGTTCTTCACATAGAAATGTTTCAGCCTTGTTGTAGAGTCTTCTGTTAATGATTTTAAGAAGGATTTTTGAGGCATGTAAAATTAAACTAATTGTTCTAAAATCACTATCCTTTTTAGCTTTTGCTTTCTTTGGTATAGGTATCAAAATACTTTGAGCAAAGTCTTCAGGCCATTCTCCTGTTTTATATATGAGATTGCATAAGTCTGTTATAAATAAAGAATCTTCTTACTTCAGCTATAAACCAACACAGTGCTTATTTCCAACTATTTCACTAACGTTTTCGAACTTCGTTCTTCCTCAGGTGAAACGGATCGATGTTATTCGAAATTTGAACGCAATGTTCTAATGAAACTCGTGCAATCATCGTGTTAAACTTGCGCATGCTCTGTAGACGGAAGGATCGTTTTTGCTTCTCAAGTGTCGTAAATAAGCGTTTGCCATGCCATCGACAAGGACAGTTCATCTTTATTGTTTATACAGTTGTCTTCTTTTGCTGTTTTATAGATATATATCGCTTCCATCCAGCGCAAATGGTGTATTAGCTGTGTGGTGTAAATTATCTTTGACTCGTCAAATACAGCTTCTATATCAGGGTCCGTGGCAAATTGTGCTAGTGCTGTCGAATATCTTTTATGCAGGATGTCCGCCTTGTGTTCCTTGATCCTCACCTCCAACGATCTTTTTGTCGATCCCACGTATACTAAACTTTATCACACCTATGATCTTTTATGAACTGGGCCGTTCGAACTACAAGAAAAAGAATGTATTCTATTTTAACAGATCTCATTAAAATCGAAAATGAGCTCTTTTGAGTGCATCCTAGTCGCTTAATAGAAGAAAATGCAAGATTGGTTCCGCAATATGAATATTTATACAATAAATGCAAGGAACGATATCGTAGAAAGCTGCAATGGATTCTGAGATTTCAGGTACCAAAGAAAAAGAATCGCCCTACCTTCCCATTTATAATATGGGATGACATAGAAGTGCCTGACTTTGTGTCTGAGGTGTTACAGTATGGCCCAAAATTCGCTCCACCGCCACCCATAACTGGATCTCTGAATTATATCCCGGACATAGAAGCCCTAATACAAGGCCTCTTGGATAGAAGTAAGGAATATTATAGATGGTTGGCAGTGCATAAAATAATAAAGGCAAAGAATGATGTGGAGTCAAAAGAACTAAGAGAAAAAATAGCAAAAGCCCGTAGATGGACCAAAGCAAATGACATCACTATAATTAGAGCGGATAAAGCTAAAACCATGGTAATTATGAGGAAGCAGACGTATGAGAAATTACTTATGGAGTACATCAATATCACCCAATGTGAAAAAAGCGGCACTAACACAGTTGAAAAACTACAGGCTAGAGTAAAGAGATTCTCCAAAAGCAAGTTAGCGAAGAAGTTAGATATAAAGAACATTGTTGTAGACTCTCCGGACACACCCAAATTATTTGGGTTTGCTAAAACGCACAAAGAAGGCAAACAGATTCATCCTGTAGTGGATAAGATTCGGGCTCCAACATGCAAACTAGAAGAGAAAATGCACTATATAATAGCACCATGTTTAGAAGAATACCAGTTTAACATAAGTAACAGTGTTGACCTCATAGTTCTACTCAAGCAGATTAATACCCCTCCACAGTACCTCACTGTGCTAGATTTTAAATCATTATACCCTTCTTTACTCCTTCCACCAGCCTTCTGTGCATTAAGAGATTTGCTAATAAGTATAATAGGGGACAGTAACCACCATCAAGATATACTAGAGTTAGCGCATTTATTGTGCTACAATTCTTTCTTTCAATTAAAAAACGAGGTATATCAACAGAAAAGAGGTGTACCAATGGGGAGCCTGATAGCAGGAGATCTATGCGAACTTGTAATTAGACTCCTAGAACAGAAAGTACTGCCCGACCTACTCCACAATATTATTACATACAAAAGATATGTGGATGATATAATCATTTTATGGAAATCTAAACCTGACATAACGGCAGTCATAGCGGCATTTAATAATAACTCTTATGGCTTAACTGTGGGCCTCGAACAGGAGAGCGACAAACAAATTCATTTTCTCGACGTGAACATCATAGTTAAAGGAAGGTCTATCAACACAGAGGTATACAGAAAACCTCAGGCAGATCAATTGTATATCCCTGCGCATTCATGTGACCCATGGCAGTATAAGATAGCGGCCTTTAATAACTTGGTGAATAGAGCATACACCCACTCATCGACAACGCGGGCACTGGATACAGAGATCAACACCATTAATATCATGGCCAAAAGACATGGATATAATAGTAGGATAGCCATGAGGATCGAAAAACTGATGCATTCACGAAGAACAGATCTAACAGAACCGCAAGGGCAA